GTGTCATAGGGTTTCCTTTTGGTCCTATCTGCCACGAATTTTTTCCTATGTCCTTTTGGCAAGGTATAGAGAATATTGAAAGCCACGTATTACTCCTATTGCAACCCATCATATTATACACATTAACAGTCATTGATAGGCAGCTCCCACATGGCCCACTGTAAATTGCTTTGTGCCGATTCATCCAATGTACTCTCTAATGTACATTTTAAATTCCAGTAATATTGACCACTCCATGTTTTATGATGTGGTGTCTTTCCTTGTGTGCTTTAAAAATAACAAAAACAAACAAACAAACTAGAGCATTAGAGTTATAAATAGTAGTTGGGTTCATTTTGACATTGCATAAAATTTGATTTCAGCCCCCACTCTCCACTTTCCCTCTACTCCTCTCTCCCTATTCCTCTTCTCCACAAATCTTCCTTTAGCTTATTTCTTTACTTTTGCCCATTTTATTTTTTAACTTGTTTATTTTTGATTGATACTTTGTGCATATACATAAATGTGATTCCTTGGGGGTATATGCAAATAGTATGATTTTGTTAAATTCATTCCACTTTTCTTCCCAGTTCCCATCTCTCCTCTCTCCCTCCTGGCCTTCTACTATGCTGATTTTGCCTAAATCTTTATGATATTCAAAACTCCCTCTTATTTTCTTCTAGCTTCCACATATGAAAGAAAACATTTGAACCTTGCATTGCTGAGTATGGCTTATTTCACTTAGCATGATATTCTTCATTTCTATCCATTTGCCAGCAAATGCCATAATTTTATTCTATTTTTATGGTTGAGTAAAACTCTGTCATGTACATGTCCCACATTTTTCTTAAACCATTTATCCATTGAAGGGCATTTGGGCAGATTCCATATTTGGCTATTGTGAATTGTGCTGCTATAAGCATTGTAATGGCTATATTGCTATAGTATGCTGATTTTAGTTCTTTTGGATAAATACCGAGGAGTGTGATAGCTAGGTCACATGGTGGTTCTAATCCAAGTGTTTTGAGGACTCTCTATATTGCATTCTAGAGTGGAGGTACTAGTCTGCAGTCCCATCAACAATGTATGAGTGTAACTTTTCTCCCCACATCCTCACCAGCTTTTATTATATATATTCGTGATAACTGCTTTTGTCCTTTGCATTACATACTCTTCCACTGACTTCCATTAAATTTTTGTAAACTGGTTAACTGCTTTCCTCATCATGACCCAACTCTGGCATCACTATTTTTTTCTTTAAAACTGCCTCAAATTCGTCATAGACTAGTGAAGCAACTCCTTTGCAAACCTCTAGTACCATGTAAATATACTTTGGGTAAATTTGTCACACTGAGCTGGTTTACACATCTGCTCCTCCCTTTAGATTATTTGCTACTCAAGGATATCTCCTCCTGTACTACTTGGTAGTACATATTTATTGGGTTAATAAGAGCATACTTTGTTATTTCTACAATAAAAATTTAATTTACAAAGGCATCAGCACAAAAATTACCCTTAAACAATGAGGGAGAAAATAGGAAGTAAACTCAAAAAAAGCCAGGCTATAAACTATTTGTAGGAGACACAGATCTTCTATCCCTGTTTTGCTGTTTGCATACCAATTTATGCTACTGATGATAATCCTCCTCCTCCTCAGTTTGGATTGCCATTCTTTTTTAAAAAAAAAAAAAATATTTATTTATTTTTAGTTGTAGTTGGACACAATACCTTTATTTGTTTTTATGTGGTACTGAGGAATGAACCCAGGGCCTCATGCTTGCTAGGCGAGCACGCTACCACTGAGCCACAACGCCAGCCCTGGGTTGCCATTCTTAAGTCCTCTAAAACACATAATTTGTTACATATGATAGGAAATTATAAGAATTATACTTGGAGTAAATTATGTGTTTGACCATAGTTGTATATAATGATTATTAAATTTTTTCTTTATGTATGTTACAAATGTGTTTTCTGTTTTTCACTTTTACAACAATTCTTTTAACAAGATTATGCAGTGATTATAACTCTATCGTAACTCAATATACTTTTAACTATTTTAGAAAATCATATTATAAAATGAAGAAAGCCTGCTGTAATGTGATTAGTAGATTTTCCTGAATGTTTTGAAGAGGTCTACCATTTGCAATTAGATTCAACACAAAAGGGAATGGTCAATATGTGGATTGGTGCTCAGATTTCAATGGAAACCAAAGGGTGGGAAGTTGTACTTGGTGCCTGAGGGGATATCAGAGTAAACCAAAGATACTGGAATAACATACATGATCTCAGATAAAAAGTGAGAATACTGTCTAAAATAAAACAAACAAACACTGGCTATTTCATTGCCCTTGTTTGTAGATTATCTACTAAACATAAAATTTAATCTTTCTTCTGATTTAATGACTCAATTTAATTTTCCTATAAGGAATACTTGTAAACAATTTAAAGACAGTATTAAAGAGCTTACAACAATAACATTTATTCCTACTTTTCTCACCCACCCCCAGCTGGGCTCAAGGAGGAAAATGCTTTCAACAATTTTAGCTACTGCTACTAGTTTCATCTTGTATCATCCCTAAAGCAAAGGGTAACAGTAAAACACTATGTTCTCCCTTTCTGTTCCCCAAACCTAGCCAAGTTAAGGGAACAATGAGGATAATTCTGGGCTGGAAAATCCATACACATATTATTATTTTAAAGGACACTGGCTTTCTCTTATGCACACTGAGAACCAAGACAAGTTAGTGCTATCTGTAAAAAGCTACTTTCTTCCATGTACACCAAGACAGTTGCTCCTTGGGGTGATGGTCATGCAATTAAGCTAAGCAAGTTAATTTTAATGATGTCACTGCTTCTGCGGCCTAAGATATAAAACCTCTCTCTGAATGGGGACTGGCATGAAATGGAAAGCATTATTAAAAGGACCTGTGTCACTCATCCATTCAACTGCCAGTAGACAAAACACCATGAGATAGAGAAGGCACCACTTAGTAAAGCACCCTGAGGGAATGAAGTGCTGTCTATCAGCTTGTCTCCACTGAACTCTTCTTGAGTAGTTTCTGATCTCTTATAAGCTTTCTCCAATAAATCATGTTTCCAACGCTGGAAACTTTCTTTGGTCTGTGTGCAACCTACCCCACTGCCCTTGCACAACTGGACTGTGGAAAAGAAATATCTCTATATTTTAGTACCATTATAATTCATCTAACAAATACTTAATAAATTTCTCCAACAACATGCCAGGCAATATTCTAAGCACTTGCAATAAACCAATAATGAAAAATAAATGAAGACTGTTGCCCTTCTGGGAGTTTGTAATCTAAAAGAAGGGCCATAAACCATAGATTTGATAAATTTGTAGACTGCAATTAGTGACCTATTACCTGGTAGAGATTTGGTGTTAAGAAAAATGAAAAAGAAGAATAGAACAAAATGGATGGAAAATACTAAAGGAAAAAGCAGTTTGCAACCTTGAGTAAAGTGCTCAGGATAACCTTTCAAAGAACATGACACCTGAGCAAAGACTTGAAGGAGGTGAGGGAGATGCCATTTGGATGTTTCCTTAGAGTTCTTCTTTTACTCTCTGCACATTTGCAACTTTTATTCTCTGCTTTTCCTATTTTAGACTTTCCTTAAATATCATTTGATGCTTGATGATTCATTTGGATTTAAGAGTGACGAACTCATAGCATTTTAGATGCTTTTGGTTCATGGGTGGGGCTTACTGATTGGCAGGATTCCTTTTAGGGTGATAAAGTAGCAAATGGATTTCTATTGAAAGGCTCTAAATATTGTTATCATACATTTTCTCTAGAGTGCATTTATATTTCTGTAGAGAAAAAAAATATATATATATATATTTGCTTGGTTGGAAGATAAGTTTGGTGGTGCAGGGTCTTATTGCTCACTTACAGACTTCTATGTAAACTCCACCCCTCTAGTATCCTCATATACTGGAAGTTTTTCAATAATTTTTCCATGGGGGAATCACAGAATCTTTCAAGATCCATGGTGGCTGAGTCACTCATCTGTGTGGGAGAGGAGCATACATCCCAGGAGTCTAACTGTACTTTTAACAATTTGTCCACTAGTCCTTTTATTTTTAGTCCCACACTGTACTCCCACCTTCCAGGATACTACTCTCTTTAATTTCCAAGCCTTTCCGGAAATCTGCTGGAAAATCAACTTATTTTTCATTTTTACTTCTTCTCTCTGGAAGTTTCAGGCTTCTTATGTTTCACTAATTTGGGTGACATATCTTAGAACAATTTCCAAAATTATATTCATAAAGTATGTGCATCTGGAGTTTCCTATGCTGTTATTGTAGATATTTACATTTTTTTTTATTTCTTTAAGTAATGTTGGTAGGTTTCCCAAAGGAGGCAACCATAGACATGTATTCAATCTGCCCTATTTAAGCAGAAGTCTGTGCAATGCAACTAAATAAGCATTTATTTGGGTTCTACAGTCAGGCACTGTGCAAGGTCTTATTGGGAATATAAGAATTATTAAAACACATTATCTATTAATTAAGATAAATTTAGTGCAAAAGAAGGACACCCTTCGCAACTCTAACTTAAAACACATTAAGGGCCATGTCATATCCTGGTTTCAATAGTATCCCCTCTCCCCACTCCAAAAATTTAGAATCACAGAAAACAGGCTTATTTGGAAATTGAGTGTTTACAGAGTTAAAAAAAGGTCATATGGATTATAGTCTACCCTAAACCCAATTGCCAATGCCTTTGTAAGAGAAAAGAGAGAGACATAGTTGTATACACAGAAGAGGCATGAGGGAAAACACGGTAAAGACAAAATCAGAGATTAAAGTGATACCATGGCAGGATAGGCACTCCTGGAGACCCTACAAGCTAGAAGAGGCTGGAAAATTTCTTCCCAGATCTTTCAAAGAGCTCGTGGCCCTGCTGAAACCTGTATTTTGGATTTCTACCCACCCCCAGAATAGGAGGGAATAAACTTATATTATTTTAAGCCACTCAGTTTGTAATATTTTGTTACAGCAACCCTAGGAAACTAATATCCATCGCAGCACCAGTACAAAGTGTGATGGGAGCACATGAGCAGATGATGGCTCAGGACATATGAAGACAGGAAACTGCAAATCCTCCACACTTACTTTAGGTAAGTAGAAAATCTATAAGTAAAAATGTATTTGACATTATTAAACTATGTGGTAGAAATTTGATTATTTAAGGGCTAATCATTCAGTGATAACATGAAGATTTGGCCACATATATGAACTTACATTTTAAAATCACACATTTAAAAAAAATCATCATTAATATCTTCTGAATATTTGAGGAAATAAAGGCACATATCTTTAGCATCATGTATTCATTATTTCTAAAAGAAAATTGAATGCTCTAAAGGAATTTCATTTGGCTCATGAAATTCTCCCATATCAGTAGACATTTCCTCATTATTTTAAGTTAGACTTTCTAACTTCATTAGCATTGAGAGAACTTTTGAGAAGTACTCGGCTTTACTACTATATCCCTAATTGTTACTAAGATGATCGTAGCTGAAACAAGAGTAATGGGTTTTGGCATATGTATTTGAATGTCTTGGAAGTGGAGATGAATGTTTAAAAAATTGAAGTCTAGGAAGAAACAAATTTTATTTGACAAGTTGTAAAGACATTCTCAAGAAAGCAAAATGCACTGGTGATGTAAGATTCAAATTGTTACTTCGTTCAGCAACTACATATGAATTATCCAGCCCATCAAAATAGAACTGATGCTCCCAAAACATTTCAATAAACTCTGCAATCTAATTTTTATAAGTTAACCAAAAGCTTTAGGGAAGCTGAAATGGTTGTGAAGCCAGTGGCAGCTGCAAACATAAGGCAGTTAGGGGCACACGTTTGGATAGAGAGGAAAATGACTTCATCCATCACTTGTAAGATCAAAAATTTCCAGTTGAATAGCTCACAATATATAATAAAGTTTGGTTCAGTTTTTTTTCTTGGAGGCCAGCACATAGTAGCAATGATTTCTTTCAAGCTTAGAAAGTGAAGAATGTTTCCTTTATTTTCTTCCCAAACCTTACAACTTCATGCAAGACTGAACTTTAGCTTACCTCCAAGCCTATGCTACCTTCTATATTCCCTTTATTAGTAAACTGAGCCATGCAATTGCCAAGATGGAAAACTGAAAGTCTCCCTTAGTTATCCATTCATCACTAATGCACAATCAGTTGCTGAATTGCAATCACTGATCTCATGTCTTTGCTTTTTCCCCCCACTCAAACCACTGTTATTCTAGGTAAAATCCCATTATTTCTTGACTAAATTATCCCAGTGGTCTTCCTAGTCATCTCTTCTAGAAAATTCTCTATGCTGTTGCCAGATAGATCATACTGAATTACAAATCTGGTCAAAATTTATCTTTTAGAATAAAGCGTGGCAATACTTAGCTCAGCATGGAAAGCCCTTTTTGAGCCATCAATTATGAATAGTCCAGCACCATTTCCAAAAATCTTATTCCACTCCTTTCCCACTCAAGTCACATTAAACCAACTGATTAAAACCTGGGGGCACATTCTGTTTGTCTCTAATATGACTTTGCCTGTGATCTCCCCTTAAGCTGGGAATACCCTTCCCCCTGGTTTAGAGCAGCTGGATGTTAAGCTGTCCTACAAAACTCCATTCACATATCTTCTCCTCAGAGGTCTGTCAATGTCTAGGTTTAGTCTACTCAGTGAGCCACCTTGACATTGGAGCCTTTAGTCCAAGAGAAAATAGGAAATTATGACTTGGAATTAATTTTACTCCTAATTTGTATGATCTAATTTGTATTAGACTGTTTTAGATGCAACCCCTAATGCACAGTAGCTAAGTATTTAGGATCATGACCTCTGGAATCAGACATCCTGTATTCAGATCCTAGCACTACCATTTGCTAGTTGTGTGATTTTTGAACAAATTCTTCTCTAAGCCTCAGGTTGTAATTTAGTAATATTGCCAACCAATGCTACAGAATGTATGCTCATTTTCAGAATATTCATAATTTCACAAGACAAGTCCAGAACCAGATTTCAAGGGAATGTGTATATGTGAAAAAAAAAAAAAAAAATATATATATATATATATATATATATATATATATATATATATATATATCATATAATCCAGAACACATATAATGAGAACTGAGAGAATATTCCTCTCCTAGTTCTGTACTGTAATTATCCTTATATCTCATAATCCCAATTTGACTCAGCATTGTCTGTCCTGTTGCTTTTTGAAGCACTATTTCCTGAGAACAAATCACTGGAAAGTGAAGCAAGGGATGAATTTTCTGCTGAGATCTACTGATGTGTGATTCCTTGTCTGTTCTCTTAGTGAGGCCAATCTACATGAGACTGGTACTTGCTACCTAGGGTCGCTATTTCCTGTCTTGGCTTTATCAGTGGAAATCATCCAAAGGATGGATTGAGAGCTTTATCTTCTATTTACATTCATTTGATTAAGATATACATGTAATTAGAAATTTATTTTTGTAAGTTAAAGAGTTATTAAAAGTGAATATTTTGTTGCAATTTAAAAATGTATTCTAGAGATGAAATAATATTCTTATGTTGAATTTTTGTCAGAAGAATCTTTTTAAATTACAAAATTCTCAAACACTGTGAAGCATGCTGGGTTAATTAATATTAGAGAGCCAAAATATCATCACATGTTATTTCAAATAGAGGTTTCAAGCTATTTTGGTGAAATTTATGAGCTAGGTATTTTCCAAAAAAGATTATTTAATATTTAAATTAATTATCACTTGATATCACATAGTATAAATGATTTAAGTTAAACCAAATTATTAAATAAAACATTTATTTTTCTTCTCAGCCTTTCTGAAATATGCAAGTCAATATGAAAAAAAATAGCAATTTATTTGACAGTCTTTGCTTTTTCTCTTTTCTCCTCCTCCTCCCCTCCTCCTTTTTCTTTTGTAAATAAAAGGTGTTATTTTATCATGACACTGATGTAGTTAAGATATAGCCCTAGGAATACTTGTTCTTGACCCTGTTCCTGCCTGTATGATATGTCTCATATCTCTAGTATACTTTTCCCTGCTTTTTCCAACTCTAAACTCAACATGAATACTCCCTATAAGATACAGATGGGATCCCAATAAACTATCAATATTACTTAAAAACCAAACAAACAAATAAAATAAATCAAAACATTTGCGGCAGAATATTAGCTTTTAGGAGAAGGTCACAAGCCAAAATTAGGTTTTAGCAATGAAACAAAAACTATCCAGCTGTTAGAATAATCTACTGCACTTTATTTCATAGGTTCATGTGCCTGCCTCAACATGCTATTCCAATGTAGATAACATTTGAGTCCTCAGAGTTAACAGGTCCTCTTTACTAGTCTCATAGAGTGAGTCTACTAACATATCTTTGAGGCTGTAGAATTGAAGGAAATTCTTTCTCTTGGTAAGTAAAAAGGGCCTCTAAAAGAACACTGCTTTACCATACAGAGCAGAATCTCTCAGGCTCCATGGTCTCTATGCTATTTCATGAACTTTTTATAGAGTATTGTTGAAAACAAACATGATACAATGTCACTCAGTTCATCTACCCAGTCTTTTATGCTGCTGAATCATGTTGTATACTAAGACTTTTCATAGTGTATTTGTAACAATCAGAATCTCCAAACTTAATCTTTTCTCTCCAATCAGGGACAGAAGTGGTTTCTATACTGAATTCAGCTCAATTTTAATGTGAAATAGGATTCTATCTCCTTAGAATGCATCATGGATTTCCCTCTTACTATGGTGTGAAAAATTGTTTTCCTACATAGGATTTAATTTAGGATCTTATTATGGGGTTTGGATGCTTATTTAAAAACTCTCTACTTAATCTCAGCCTTCTGTAAATTGGGAAATGAAATATTATTCTCAAGAGAATCCACTGTCTAGGAAACCTCATGGGTCTCATTTCTTCTAGAAATGTGTACACTGAGGTAGGAAGCCCACACAATGGTTACTTTTTTGGTTCTGCCAATGCATGTGAAGAGCTGCTTGGGCAGGGTGACAAAGAAAGCAACTAGGGGTTCAATGGTGGAGCATGGTAGGCTGTATCACAGGGAGGGCAAGTGTCAAACAGAATGACTGCAGACACACACCAGGCGGTCCTGAGACCTTTATCTAGTTCCTACACCTGCCTTATCACCAGTCTGCTGACTAGCAGCTCAAGGCCTTGCCTGCTGCCCATGTCCTTGCTCCTATCCATTCTCCCCACTGGAGCCAGTATTATCTGCAAGGGAAAGTGTTGAATGTATCTGATCCTCTGTTGTGTTTAATCAGGGTCTGCCTTCTTCTTTTTTTTTTTTTTAAAGAGAGAGAGAGAGAAATTTTTTTTTAATATTTATTTTTTAGTCTTCGGCGGACACAACATCTTTGTTTGTATGTGGTGCTGGGGATCGAACCCTGGCCGCATGCATGCCAGGCGAGCACGCTACCACTTGAGCCACATCCCCAGGCCAAGGGCCTGCCTTCTTTAAAAGAAATGGACAAACTTGACCATCCTGTCTTTAGCAGGAAAAACAGAAGGAAATCATTTAATTTTAAGGCTATTTAATGAGTAGTTATTGGACACCTATATGTATAAAGCACTTTTACACGTAGTTATCACATTGAATTCTGGATGGCAGGTCCATACCTGATAAGAAAATGAGCACCACAAGAGGGTATTCCTTAGCAAATCAGTATGAGTAACTTAGTACCTTGTAAGGAAGTGTAAAAACTGCAATTCAAAACCATGTCTATGTGTGTCCCAATTTTCACAGGCAAACAGCAAAAGGCAAAGGCTAGTATTTGCTAGCATTTGTTGTATTTTAGCTGCTTTTATTAAATAATCTCAACATCATATAATGAAGTAGAAGATTCTATTTCCAGTTCCAAAAAACAAAAACAAAGAACAACAACAAAACCCTGAAGTCTCAATAAGAACTTTTAATAAAATTAAGTAACTTGTGTGAGGGGAGAAAGCCAGGAAGTGATTGATCAGGCATTTAGTCCCACATCAAACACCTATTATTATGGTACACTCTCATACAGTAAAAGGTGTATAGAATCTCAGGAGAGATGTGGATATTATGACAGTTACCAGCATGT